AATTATTTTTTTTCGCGCGCTCTCTATAATGAATGCTTTAATTGTATGAATTTAATCTGTAGTTGATTTCATAGAAAGCTTTTATTAAACAAAAAGTAGTGATAAAAGTATTTTCAGTGTTTTTAATAAACGAAAACCGGGGGATTTCCTTTGTCTTTCTCGTCCGTCGCGTAAAATAAACTCCCCGACAGCGCCTTTCTTTGATGCTTAACTTTTTTAAACAAAAACTGGTACGGAGATCCCACTTTGTCCTACCCTTCTGCTTTTCTTTTTTTTTTTTTATTTCCTAATTTTACACAATTTATATGTGAATCGATCTATAGAAATTTTCTATATATTTATTTAGTGCGACTAACTTATCGTTTTCAGTTTCACATGATGGTTTAAATGTAGAACTATCGGGTATGTTTCTCTGACTTGAGCGAGTTAAAAAAATAAATATGAGTTGAGTACATGAAATAGAGTTTGAGATGAATGTGTCGCGATCGTTATTGGCGTAAGGTGGATTGACGAGGATCATGGATGCTTCAAAAGGAGAATATTTAGTTTTTATGTATAGCTAATGAATCTACTATTGAATGTTTAAAAATACCATGAAGCACCAAAATATTTTACTGCTGTCGAGACCAAAGAGAAAAATACTCATCTAGGTAAAGATCTAAAACGTTTCAAGCATTCGACAGATTTAGTCGAACTGTTTCGTGAAGAATTTATATATACTAGTCGTGGATATATGTATTGTCCGCATTAATTTGAAAAAATTAGCATAACGTCAAAACAGTGAATCATGTAGCGCGGATTTTTGACCGGTTGTTATTATAGGTTTGTCTTGAAATTTGAAGGTGTTGCAGTGAATCAATCTTAACGAAAGTTTCCGACATTATTATATATGTTGTGGTTCAATTTTATCCTTGGTTTAAATTTTATTTTCCTTTGTTTCAAACTCATTATCATACATTACCATACCCAAAAACAAAGGCAAATAAAATTTAAACCAAGGATAAAATTGAACCACAACATATACATTATGAAGATCGTGTGAAGAGATTTTAAAAAAAATTCGTCGAGTCGTTTCAGAGATATACAAAAAAGCGCTAAAAGTCGAAATTTTGAATGAAGTTGCACTTAGACAGGTGGTAATAATAATAATAAAATATCTATATAGCGCTTATACTTTTCAGTTCTAAGCGCAGGTGGTGAGAAAACGTTTTAGTTTTTAGGATCGCAAGAACGAAAATACACCAAAATTTTGTAGCATCGAAATATGATATTAAGCAGCATTGTGACACTACTTAAGAAAAAATTGAGTCATTTATAACGTTTTTATTTAATAATCTGTCACAGCTATTGAAAATGTAAGGTTTGAAATATATTTTCGTTTTAGTCGAATTCAAACATACAGAATTTTTTACTTCTTACCGACATCGTTTGCTAAACACCAAACTTTAAGTTCCTAGTGTTGGATTTTCATTAGCTGGTCTAGATCACACAAAATTCGGCTTTTATCAATTTTTTGTTCATTGTTGTCATAGTAAAATCAATTTCCATTTCCACAAATTTCAATCCATAGCCAATTACTGGTGAAAATTTTTTAGCGATCGAACAAGGAAAAAACCACTTTTAAGGCGATTGAAAAATATTGGTATGGCCTCTGAAAAACTGTATCGAAACACCTTAACCTGATATTCTTGTTTTTATTATTTCTGCAAAAAGCGCGTGCCACCCTTCTTTAAATTTATCAATGATCAGAGGATGCCCACAAAATCTGTTTGTGTAACCATATACAATTTTACCGCCCGAAATGAATATAAAGGTTGTTCGAAAAAGTGAACGCGATAATCCTGAAACGTATTGTGGGTGGTTTTGAATTCACTCTTCTTCAAAGAAATTCAGAGGACAGAACGACAAAAGAGAGGCCATGGACATATGTTGGCGAGTGCTAAAGAAAAGCGACAAAAGTAGGTTCGACAGCTGCAGTGTCAGGAACAGGGTAACCTCATTCTCTCTTGATTGATCATGATATCCCATAATATATAGATTTAGTCAGGGCTAACAAGCGAAGCTCTCGATAATATTTATAGTTTGCTCAAACAAAATATAAAATGGTGTAATGCTAAGCGGCGAAGGCAACGCTGGAGAACGGTGAAAAACAAAAATAGGTCTAATTAGAAAAAAAGCAACTTTGCACGTGCAGCTAGGCATTTGCCGATTGTGCTAGTAAAAGTGGCATATTATGCTAGTGGCAGTGCTCGTTTTTTGCCCAAATTATGCTCAAATTATGCTCGCTTTTCAAAATTATGCTACTTTTTTAAAAAATTATTCTGTGCACAAACTTCACAACTCACAAGACAAGTTTGAAAATGTATCTTATTAACCCTGGCCAGACGTTCTGGGCCCGGTTGTTCAAAACCTGGGTAACTTTATCCGGTGGTTGGGCCTATACGGCGAATAAATCTGCTATCCAGCGGATAGTTATCCAGCGAACAAAAGTAGGTTACACAAAGCCTGGATAGTGTGGTGGATTCGAGGCGTCTATCCCGGGCAAGTTGTGCAGGCTTTGGTCTATCCTCTCTGTTCTCGCAACCTTGTAAACTATCTGGATGTAAGTTCACTGCACTTGACTGGTTTGGCGTGGCGGCCGCCATTTTGAAACGAGCACTGGGAGAAAGACTAAGGAGTCTGGGACCGAGACACAGACTTCCGGTTCCGTTTCATCGAACTCCCGCGGTATCTCAACACAAGTAAAAAAAAATCGAAAAATAGGAGTGGAAGCAACTGTCAATAGTAATCTATCGTTTTTAGTAGCTGAGATCTTCGTTTTCTTGAATTATTCTAAAATTGTGCTATTAAGACAAGAAAATATACGGATTATGCTAGCAGTGCTACTTTTGGAAAAAGGGCAAAAATTATGCTCAATTCCTCAGATTATGCCAAAAATTATGCTAGCACAATCGGCAAGAGCCTACGTGCAGCACACTTTTCTTGTACATTTCTTTGATGTTGTTTTGCACGACTACAACGTGAAACGTCCAGAAACGTCTTAGTTACACGTTTTATGGAGGAAATGTCGCACGTTTTCTTGTTCACTTTTTTCCACGGCCGCTCATTTTCACCTTGCATTGGTGGCCGCTGACATTTCTCATTTTGTTACCGCCGCTACATAATTTTCATGTTGTTCTTCCAACAAAAAATGTCTCCATTGTTTTTTTATTTCTCGCTCTAGATCTCTGTCGCCCTTTTTCTCGTTGAGCTTCGCTGGCCTGCCAATTAATTGACGTGACAATTAGTCTAACCTTAATACTTAATACAGAGAAAATTTCCGCTTTCCGTTTTCGTCTTCATTGACTCCTTAGTTGTCTCTGCTGCACAAGAAGCGGGTAGCTATGCGACTTCCCGTCAAAATAACGTCGAGTTGCATTTGGGTTGCCATACCTGTTGATTGAGCTATTTTACATTGGTATGACTGTAGTGCGGATGGACGGTCGGGCGGGCGGTCGGTCGTTGTACGGTCACGTGATTACCAAATTTTCTCGAATGGGTAGCTTACCACATTTTCTCACCCATGGTGCTCCGCTGCGCGCGCTTCGCGCGCGAGAGCTCCGATATTACCTTTCGGGATTGTCGCTTGGGCATTTTTTCCGACAACTTTTCTCGAAATAGCTGTATACATGTATAATGTACTACCGTTTGTTGTAACAGAGATGGATGTCGTCAAATTATGGATGAATACCAAACTAATTTCAAAATACAGAAAAGAAGACATAATCAAAGAAAAAGTTGAAAAAAGGAAATTCTGCGTAGCGAGTTAAAATTTTGTGACGTCACAAAATGTCACTTGATCATTGTTTCGATGAAAGAAAGAAAATTTTAAATGAAACGATTTTGGGAAACTAACTAATGTTACAGCAAAATCAGCTTATTTTAAACTGAAAAAAAATATATATATATATATTAAAAAATCATAGGGATCCTTTTTTTAAAGAAGTATGGTTCTGGGGCCCGAGTGTAATTAATTCGAGTCCCATAACTCGATTACTCCCCTTCTAATTGTCTTTCAGATTACATGATTTTGACTCGGAGATTTCAGTAAAAAAAAAATTCATTTTATCCATTTGACATTTTGTGTCAAACAAAAACTTAAAATTATTTTGTCTACAATCGTAGTCTACATGGCAAATTTGGTGAAGACATGAAAATAAAAAGTTCGAGGTAGCATAAAATAACGAAAAAAATATAACATAAATTTGGCCCCAATGACACGTTTAAGGCGTGTTTTGGCCTCACCGTGGTTTAAGTGTTACCTTGCGACTTAGATACAAATTCAATCACAGCTGTATGTAAAGAAGGTTTCAATATCAGTTGCCAATCATTTTGAACAAACCAGATGTAAAAATACAAGTTCGAGTAAGTTAGCATTGAAAGTTATCAGTACAATGTTCAGTGGCATTTTTCTGCCCGTAAACAGGATTTTGTGTCATAAAGTCAGATGCGGATTCCGCAGTTCTAGATGTTTTAAGTCTTCTAAAGTTAAACTATTATTTCTTCAAAGCGGGTAGACGCGGGATGAGGTCGGTAAGCCGTTGCTATTACAGTCTCTAATGAAAAGGAAATGAGACTCGAGACGAAATGTTTTGACAAATTTCATTTTTTTAATTCAAATCATGCAGACCGTTACATTTCATTCCTGTTTCCCTTACCCCAATGGCAACTTACAATTACAAAAAGAAGGCTCTAACCATACTTGGCTTTTTGTACTAAATTTATCTGGATACATTTGCTGTTGTTATTGAGCTAACTTACTCTAACAGGCACTCCTCTATAATGGCCACTCATCTCTGTCCCTAAGCCAAGGTAACCGTTTTGGAAAGTTTGTACTTCAACCGGGTTTCCCTAATTAACACTAACACTGTATAGTGCCAATGGGTTTTTTTAATCATTTACTCTATCGATCCAAGGAATGTCTGGGCAGAACTTCCTTTTCGGCATCCACTTTTTAAAAATTACAAAACGGGTGGTGGAACGCCTGGGGGATTGGCGTCTGGCGGTGGTGGTCCTTCGTCTTCGTCGTCCAACGTGCGGCGACCAATGCTTCTCAGGCAGATAAGCGGAATTCGAAGCTTATAGGGATTGACGGTGGATTTGATGTTTAGGTAGCTGTTAAGTAAATAAACCGTTTCCACTTTAGTATTCGTTTTGTTCAATTTTATTTTCCGATTTTAATCTGTGTATAGAGCTTTTTCACCCACGTGGCCAGCTGCTTTGTACATTAATTGATACAAAAGAAAGTCTTTGCAAAAGAAAAATGTTCAAATCCCACAGAACTGGTTTGGGACACTAATATGGCCGCAGTTTCATTGTTTTGGGACACCAAAATGGCTGACGTGACGTCATATAAAACACTCTCAAGGGACATAAGCTCATCTTCTTACAGAGGTTTTTTTTTATTCATGCAGTATATAAAATGGAATTCCAGTGCGCAAAGTGCTTCGGTTAAAAAAGCAGCCTTTTTTCGGGAATCAATATCCGATAAAAAAAAAAATACAAAACAAGCAAGTATACATACAAAAGTACAATTCCAATACACTAAATGCTTAAGTCAAAATTTTTCGGTAATGAGTATCCGATAAAAACAAATACAAAACAAGCAAACGAGACCAAGAACAACAAACAAGCATGCAAAAAACCAACAAAGCAGCAACAATTTAAGGATGAAAAATTATAAAAGTATATATATATACACAAATGAAATCTTAATGGGTTCATATGTAAAAAAAAAAGTCTCTACCCATAACAATGATAATTACCGAACATTGATAGCTTATTTCCCAACGCCTCAGGGAAAAGCATAACGATTACATTTGCAACTAACAAATACCGTATTTATTCGAATAAGCGCCCAACCTCAAATTAGCGCCCACCTCGAACAAGCACCCATCCTAAAGGCAGAAAAAGTTAATAAGCGCCCAGCCTCGAATAAGCGCCCACCCCTCCTCCTCCCAATCAAACTCAAACAAGCGCTCACCCCCACCCCATCCACTTGAGTGAATAAATTCTAATAAGAGACTTTCCCGAGGACGGAGATTTCTTCAGAGTATTTTACAGAAACCTTGCTTTGTTACTTCTTCGCGTTTTGTTATTAGCACTTGTTGTTTTGTTGCAAAATAAACATACTTCACTTGCTGAAAATGGAGAAAATTTAATAAGCGCCCAGCCTCGAATAAGCGCCCACCTCGAATAAGCGCCCACTCTCAAGGTCCAAAAATTTAATAAGCGCCCAGGGCGGTTAATCGAATAAATACGGTATTCCTTTTCGTACAAAAGCATTCGTAGTGACGCGAAAGACAGGACAGTTATGACTTTCGTAAAATGTGAAGTGTATTGAACAACAATTAACTATAAATCAGTATCATCTCCTCATAGAGCGAGGCTTCCAGCCCCGCCTTAGAAATACTGGCCATTGGCTTTAAGACTTATTTCAGAAATTTGAATACTACGTGCCTTCTACGTGACTATGATATTGTGTTGTTGTTTATTTAATGAATATCGTTACCTCACGGTGAGGCCAATGTTATGAACCTTTCCTGTAAAAGTTTGCGGTTGACACATATCGTTGTCTTCCAATGTGAGAACTCCACTTGCTGAGGATAAAAACAATTTATAACTCAATACATTGCAGTATGGTGTTTACATCAGCCCAAATTCCTACGCATCAAGTTACTATTGGTACTCTGACCGGCAAACGTCAACTTGTACCACTGACGGCGTTTTCAATTTACCTGCCTTTGCTGTTCATTACAATTACAGATCCAAAAGCACTTTACTCAGTTTCGTCTGATTTCCTAATGTGTGTCATTTTCACTTTCTCGAATCTATGGTTTTTCGTTTAGTGCGGTTTGCCACAAGCTCGATTCTTCTTGATTGTAATCTAATTCGCCACCTACACATGTCCCATAATGCACCTTGTTTCCCTCAAGAATTTTGGATAAGTATCGTCTTAAGTGATGCCGTCTGTTATGTACAGAACTAGTTATGTCTTTATAAAAATATGTTTCTTTTCTATTTATGATCTTAAATAATTCATGAAAGCAAAAAGAGAAAATTACAACTTTTCGAACTGGATTTTGGGCCTCGAAATGGCTTTAATATACTCAACTGTTTTTTTAATGTTGGGTTATGAAACAGTCACGCAGTGTCTCATCCGATATTCAGACACTGATATGTGATATGTGATACGTGATATATGATGTGCGATATGTCATGTGTGATAGATGATATGTCATGTACGGTATATGAAATGTGTTATTTGATATGTGATATGTGATATGTGATATGCGATATCCTCCAAACCTGATTATTTTAAAGCCTGATCGAGAGAGGAGAAATTCCTCTCTTCGTCTGACATCGTGGTGTGTGGATACTGGGTAAAACACTTGTTTGATATAGCTTCTTGAGTGCAGAAAAACTATTAAGAGAAACAAAAGCTAAATTTCTGCAAACCTTCATCGAGATCCATTTTCCAAACCTTTGTCACGGTAGTGCTTTCCTTTGTTCGTACTTCTTGATTTAGTTAATAATGTATGTTATTCTTACACCTAAGGTCGATCGAAGTTTCTCGGCCATCTGAATGTGTGATGCAAGAATGCAAAACTCGTCATAAGTTTATTGTTTGAATCAATGGATGAAAGTTTGTTTGTTTACTTAAGACTGACTTTAAAAGGGCACTTCACACCAGAAAGTTTGAAAGTTTTGTTCCTTGATTTTAGTACTTTTGGTTTTTCAGTTTCTTTAATTTCCTCTTCCCAGTGTCTTCTCTACTTACCTAAACCCTTTTTGAAGATGTAAACGCCGACTTCGGCTCCGACCATTCCCAGCCTTCCCTTAGCTATGAGCTTCAAAAATTTCAACTGGTCAGCACCTGGCATTGGATCCTCGAATTGTAACACATAGCACCTTCTGTTAAAGACCAAGTATTTTCTTTTCTATGAAATGATACCAAACATAGCGAAATATTACTGAAGGTATTAATGTCAGCGCTTGTCAATAAAACGATTACATATACCTTTATCATTGTCCAACTTGCACATCTCCCATAATGCACCTTAATTGCCCCCAAAATGTCTCATAAGCATTGTTTTCAATTTCTGTTGAGACGGCTGTAACACCAGGAGAAATGAAAAACAGGGGTTATGCAATTTTTTTGGGGGGAGGTGGGGGGGGGGGGGGGCAAATAAGGGCAAATAAGATGCATTATGGGAGATGTGCAATTGGCGCATTGTAACAAACTGCTATCACAATCGATTTTCATCAGTGGGCTATTAAATTATTATAACCTCGGTTGTTCTCTTATTCCCAATCAACGTCACCCAAAAACTCACTTGATATCAACTGAATTCCCACTTAAACCTCAACTTTCAATCTTTTTAATCCTATCTCTCATATCCATTTTAATAATCTTTATATTCATCAACAAACTCACATTTTAAAACCGGAATGCCGCTAAGTATCATTTACATCACAGTGTAAAACTCACTTCAAATAGTTATGATACGATCTCTGAATTTTCGCGCTTAATTTATGTAAGACGTTTTGTATTGCTTAATTATGTGCCGAAATGTCTGATTTTTGTTATGAAGTTTTTTTAAAAAGTAAATGTATTTATATTCACATACGGTTTTGTAGTCAACGATCACATTGACGCGCAACGGATATCTGCTTGTCTTGGTGTAAACCTTCATATCACTTTGAAAACGCTGAAGTTTCAAATCCAGATTATAAGGCATGTCGATAAATAGGTGCTTGACGAACTATAAAGAGAGAAAAGTACAATTACCAAACCTTTTAACTTACTTCAGATTATACATATGGTGTACAAACAAATACATAATCCCACGATTGACTCGAGGTCGATTTTCCGATCGGGGCCGGAGATGGGGGTAGTAAGTGACATGGCTGTCTTGTAGGATTTTAGTTAACTTCAAGTTTAAAATATTAGTAGCAAGTAATGACCCAAAATTCAAATCATATTATGATTGATTAGTGTTTTTAAAAATAAAACAAAACAAAAAAATGAAAAGAGTGTGCAGGTTTAATACTCACCACTAACATCCTTCCAGAAGTCCTTTTTGGGAAACCTAAATATATCAACGCATCATCAGTACAACAGAATTAGGATCCAAAATATAAAAGTGGTTTAATATAAATTCCAGAGAGACTAGTTTTAAGTATAATATCGCCTTGCGCAGTCAGTTCTAGAATCTCAATACTCAAGCTGTCTTGGTAAATTGTGCGAAAGTTCAGAAGCAGTACTATTCTGTGGTGAAATTTATCTAATCACCAACAGGAGTAAAAATAAATAAATAAATAAATAACAATTATTATAATAATAACAAACAAGATCGGCTATTTCGTGTTCTTACGAAATATTCTTGAATTTCTCTATGTTGCTTTTGTGACGTGAGGACTTTTTCACAATAATTTTGCTGTCGCCTGTAAAACTATTAACATGGAGTGCAAGGAAATAAACTGCGTCTAGCTGGTTGCGAAAAAATATATTTGATAAAACAGTTTGATCTTACATGGGCATTTCAACCCTGCTTCACTGACCACGGCGCAACCAACAAGAAGAATGGCAGCCAGAGTAATGGACTTCATCTTATCTTGTTTCACAGTTCTAAGGAAAAAAAGAAAACAAGCTGCTATTTTTGAAGCGTTAATGAGTATGTGAAAATCCCCAAACAATAGGAAAATAGTAAATTTTATGAAAGTAAGAAAAAAAAATCCGAGGGTTACCTCTTTTGGGAATTTTTGCGGTGGGGCTAAAGTAAAAATTGAAAGGCGAATAGTTTCTAGGCATGCTTAAATTAGCTTACGTACCCACGTAATTTTCAATTACGATTAGTTGGTCGATCCCAACGTTCCATTTAATTTGAAATACTGAACAATAATTTTTTTTCATTACCATGAGGTCAATTCTTTCGGTTTATTGCATATGGAAACCCGTATATCTTGAGTGTTGGCCTTAACGAGCTAACAACGCCTTAACTGCAATTGTCCTTACTCGGTCAGCTGACTATTTGCCCGCGTATTTACCGACAAGTTATCAACACGGGTTTGCAGGACTGTTTGACCATATGTGGGCTCTTTTTCCCGTCTCAGGCTGCTTTAAAAAGTTAAAAGTGATCATAGCTTATTGGGCTTTGTCAAGAGGCTGTGTATACCTTATGTTAATAAGACTAAGACTGGTAAAAATGGTGCTAGAAAAAAAGAACGCCGTAGGCAAAGTAAATCATAAGCTCTCTCAATAAGCCTGGCAATCTAGAAATTAAAGCGTCTATTTGTATATGTTTTAGCGTTATTTTACCTCAAAGTCACTAGAGATTTCTTGCAGTTGACTTTCTAGAAGCGATGACTTCCACAGTCTTGCGAGCTGTGACAAGATATGTGCGAGGCCTTCGTACAAATAGTCTGCAGCAGAGGCGGGGCTTAAACAAACGAGCGGTTCATCACGTCTTGCTTGTTTTCAGCACACTTCAAGCTCTTCAAGTTTTACTGCTAGTATCAATCGTGAATTTACTGAGAAGCACTTCACGTTTCTTTGATCATATCAACCCGACAATTGAACTTAGGAGCACTTTAATCTCTCCAGCTCAAACCATCCGTAATTTGACCTGAGGAGCGCTCTATTTTTTTTCCTGCTTAGCGCCGCACCAAAGTGATTCTAAGCACAACTCTCCAAAAGTTTCATTTAGTTTTATCCATTATTGTTTTTGAGGTCATTGCAGTGAATAGCGCGATAAATTCTTCCTGGTTTTTCCAGTTTACAAAAACTGTTGGGTCACATGTGATTATACGTGCGACAGACTTATGCAAGACATATGGTAAGGGGTCATTTCTTATCTCACCGAGAAAAGGACCTCTCCAAAAGTTTTATTTAGTTTTATCCATTATAGCTTTTGCTGGACCATGGCATGGAATAGCTCAATAGATTATCTTTGGTTTTTCCTATCAGTGTATAAAACTGTTGCGTCAGATCAGCGCGACAGCATCAAGCTATGCTCAAGGGTCATTTCTGATCTCGCCGAGGAGAAAGGTGTTTAAAAAATCATTGCGATCTGCTCTTGCTGATAAAGGAGTGGCTTGAACAAACGCGAGCGATGTATCACGTCCTATTTGTTATCAAAATACTTCAACCAATCCAAGCTCACCTGTTCAGTAAAAACATGCTAAAGCCACACCCACTTGATTCTTTAAATCTCTTTCTAAATGTTAAAGAATAGTCAAAATGGTTCAGTTAGGAGGTAGTCGTTCGGAAATATCAAAAGAGTTTAAAATATATTGTGCAAATAGTTTCAGAATTACTTTTTATTGATTGTCAGGAAAGCGTATATTATAAATTCAGAAAAGACGTTTTTTTGGTGAAGTTCTACAAACGTACATGCACACATACACACACACATTATTTGTTTAAAATTCAAACTTAAGAATATTTTTACGCCTAAAAGTAGCTAGTTATAATCTACGCTAATCAAGCATGAAGGAGATATACGTACAGGCGTATAAATTAAAACAAATATTATGTTCTTAATACCATCTATCAGAACACAATGTATCTTATTTGATGTGCTACACTGTCTATTGAATCGAGACAAACAAGCTAATAAAATGGCAACTAATATCAGTTGTGAGCAAAATAAGGTCCTTTTTAAATGTCTACCTTCACATGTGCTGACTTTCGTAAGTGGATGAAGTATGCTGATGAAAATATAGGGAAATCATCTATTGGCTTTTCTATAGGCTTCCGATGATGTATTTCGAAAAGATGCACTTTATGGTTATTTGATTTTAATTTATTCAACACCACGTGAACATTACCAGCAAATTTCCTGTTTTATCATTTTATTCTTCTTGGGTAGGTCTAAGAAACGGATACTTTTTCTGTTAAAACCGACATATGAAAGGCTGTAGCTGTATAAAGTTGTAGAGAACCTCGAGGGGGACTCTGAGAATCAGACGGAATTTGAATCCACGGTAAACAAATAGACTTTCCAACTTCTAAGCAACGGCAGAGTTGAGAGCTAGCCTCTACAATTTAATACTAAGTCAGTTGTGAATTCAAAGTTGTGATTTATTATTTTAAATTCCTGTAATATTGTTCACTTCCTTGTCCGATTTCTAAAGATAATCACGGGCGGAATCTTGCATAACAATGAAACACTGGCTAAAATTCTGGCTTTTAAGAACTGGTTGATTTCGCAATCATGCTGTGCTTACCGAGCGAGGAAAGCCTAAGCGTTGTTCGAGGCCTAGTAGCCGAGGGCAACTCTATTTTTTTTTATTGCTCTCCAAACTTCGGAAGAAAATTCACAACGTTACTTACACAGAGCTAAAAGCGGCATAACCTGACTGCAGCTAAGGTCTAATTCAAACTTTTGATCGGTTACAAAATTCTCTTTACTTGTGGCAAAGAAAACATACGCTTTTATTGGCTGGTTACAAACATGCGACAATCGTCCGGTCACCTCATGATTGTAGAATAACAGACGTTGGGTAAAAGAAAAAGAAATAGAGAAAAAGAAAAGCTAGAGATTTGATGATGAATTTTGAGCGCGGTGAATACATGTACGTAAGAGAGAAAAGATTTTTCAGTCAATGACACAGGACTCTCAATAGGAGTCGAATCCCTTTTAAATTTCCAACTTTTCGTCGAGTGAAAAGGCTCTATATAAGGAAGCCTGAAACTGTTGTCAAAAAAGTGGGTTTGAAGACTTGAAATGGAACTTGGATTTCTTAATGGGAAACAGGAATACCTTTTCAGACGTCGTGTTTGTTTAGGAAATTTTCCAATGGGGTACTGTTCTACCAATTTTCTAACCGGATTTTCCGGAAGCTTTTTGTAAACAGTAAAATCCCTCACAATTATTGGTCGTGTTCAAAATCCTAGAAATACGGATGTGTAGATGTTTCAAAACTTACCTTTTAAAAAAATCAAAACATCGTGGTTTGTAAAATGACAAATTGAGAAAGATGATACAATAATATGTTATTTCTCATTGATGTGGGGCATAAATTAAAAATAATTTCCTTTTGATAAAAGGAAACACACCGATATTATTCATGTTAGATGTGTTATAGAAACGGATTAGTTTAATAATCCATGGCTGTATATGATGAGAAGTGTATGCCCTCCAGTGAGTAATGAAATATCCAATCTCCACTTTTACTCCCGTGCCATAAAAAAAATATTTTACCATGTTATAATATCTCATGTCTGGAGGAGATGATTCCAGGTGTACGTGATGGATTTCATTCATTCTCTTTTAGCACTGCAAGATAAATCAAGTATTCATATCTTGAGGTATCCTTGAAATACTCACACATAACAGTTACTAATAATACTATCAAGTAATGAATTCCTAAGCAGATATGAAGCTCTAAGCAAATAAAGTGTACGAACCTATGATAGTGGTTAATAACGTTTATCTAGCACGACTCTCCTGCATCTTGGTGTTTTGATCTTTTTCTAACTAGGGAACTATCAAATTTTACTTTTGCCTTGAAAACGTGGGATTTCATAACTGAGGGTGGAAACAATCCCTAGAGAAATTCATTAGAGGAAAGTATATTTAAGTTCACTGAAAGACTGGGGTGCAGCAACGTATTCAATATAGGCGTTATAAATGGATGTGCTTATGTTTACGATGTGATGAAATATTGGCCCCATTTAGTTCATTTTACCGTTATTGGTTTTAAGGTTATTGCACTGAATATTTTGAAAGATTCTTCATAGCCATGGTACTTATGAAACTACTTGCGTCAAATGGTCTTGCGAAGAGACAAAAAGACAACATCTTGGTCATCTTGTCATTACCATTTCCGAGTGTCGCCCGAACAAAGAAGTCTTTCAGTAGCAATTGAATCTTCTTTATGTATAAAACGAACTAATATATCATTGGATTTAGTAAACGAGCGGTGTATCATGTCTTAATTATTATTACTTCTCTTCAAGCACTTCAACCTCTCCGGCTTTTATCAACCGTGAAATGATCAGTTGAGAGGAAAGAGACTATACTGGCCAACGTTACAATCGCGTGATCAGTAACATATCCGCTCCAACCGTTAAACAGAAAAGGAAAATTAGAATAAGGTGCTAAACGTTTGAAAATATCACAGAAAATTCCAATCTAGAAAAGTGCGAAATATATTGGAACAAATGGTTTCAATATTATTGTTGATTACTTGATAAGAACCCATATCTAATAAGTCTGTGATATGAAGTTCTACAGAATAACAAGAACTAGAAATTTGTACGCGTAAACAACTGTCACAAAAATTGCTTTGCATATTGTAGTATCCAATATAACTGATGTAAAACGTTTGCGAACAAGACACGTAGAACGGGGGGAGGTCAGAAGATCAGTTCTTAAGGTTTTAACTTTAATTTAGAAAATGATTCTTGTCCATACCAATGCTTTTCAGTTTTTAATAATTTGAAAACAGTCATTACCCATCTTTCAAGAATATTGCAGGTGGACGCACATCTGCTTCTACTCGTTTGCCCGTCCAGAAACATTCAGAAACATTCGCGAAGAACAGAGAAAAAAGTTCCAAGGACGGTAGTTACGTGCCGCCCAAATTGCATGTTTGTTATTGTCGAACGCCATCTTTATTTCCTCTTCAATTTCCACAAAAAGTCGTCCCACATGCCAGCATATTCCTGGTGCTTGGACGTTCCTTGGTAATTTTTTTAACGAAAGAAATATAAATAAATATAAATAAATACGAAATGTATGACAGAAGGGTTACTCCACTTAAACATTTTTCTCATTCGCATTAGGATAGCTGTGGTCGTGTGGATGTTACATTGATGAGAGGAAAGTCAGGTTCTTAATGCGAAGACCGAAAATAACGAGTTAAACTTAGATTAAATTCAAATTGTTCGGCAACGCTTCCTTAAGTAGAGGATTTTCTTTTTCTCTTTTGAAGGCAATATTACCAAATCTT